TGGTAATAATATAAATTTTATAATAATAATAATTTTGTAATAATAATAATTTTATAATAATATATATAATATAAATTTTTCAGATAAAAAGGTTAAGAAACGAGTGTTTTGTATCTTCTATTCTCATTTTACGTAATATCAGAATTAAAAAGAAAAAAAAATATGCTAGTCATTGCACCATAAACTAAGTCCCTTTATCACATAAAAAAAAGACTCTCGAGTCGATCAGACCAGTTCGAAAAAGAATGTACCGCTGTTTTAAAAGGCGATCGAGTAGATTTTGCCAGGGGCGTGGTATGCTCCCGGAGGAAGAACAAAGGGCTGAGAAAGCGAACCGATTTTATTTTAGAGGGCTTACTCCCTCCCGGTGCGAACGCAGACCCCGTCCTCCCAAAATCGCGCGAATCAACGAAGAAGCGTGCGGGCAGAGCCACCCCCGCATCCGGCCAGGCTGCGGAAACACAGGCACGGCTGGACTCTACACTTGGCGCGGCCTCTGAAGACTTCCGGTTGCTCGAGGTCCTTGGTCCTCGTGTTGCTGCTGATCCTGGCGCTCCTCGGAATCGGCGCCATTGCTCTCTACATCGTGTTCGGTGAGTTCGCCTTCCTTTCACCGAAAATTTCAATCAATCGGTCTTCTTGTCGCATCAATATCGAACTCGAGTTCCAGTTCGCCTTATCTAATCAACGATCTGCGAATATCTTTATGCATTTCTAGCCGATAAACGGTAGCCGAAGGCAACGTGCTCGGTCAAATTTGATAAAATTTTATTTCCTGTGCTAAGGCAATAAATTAATTTTATTTTACAGTTTTATTACAGTTTATTATGATAGAGGCAGGAAATTTTGCTGCAAAATAAAAATCGCTCGCGTCCGTTAATATAATATAATAATAATAATAATAATATATAATATTATAATATAATATATATGTAATATATAATATAATAATACATAATATATATTAATAATATTATTATATATAATAATATATTATAATATAATAATACGTAATATAATAATAATATTATATATATGATATAATATATAATATAATAATATTTTATATTATATCGTAAAAATGACACGGAGCAACGCGGTATCTCAGAAAGCTTCGTCCTGCCTCAACGGGCATCGTCTTCTCGCAACGCGTCCAACGAATTCGTTAGTTCGCCGCGTACAGTTTCGAGACGGCCGGGTTCGTCGCGCGCAGAGCGTCACGATTCTAATCGCGATCGATCGCGGATGCGGGCCACGTGAGAACGCGAAGCGTGCCGGCCGATAATCTGGCCGACGGGCAGCGGGCAACGGCGAAAACAAATGGCCGAGGTTTTTTTTTTTTTTAATTGGCCAAAGCGAAGCAATTGCAGCGAGCAAGATGAGTTTAACCGGCGGGTCAACGCGGGAGAGAACGCGCGCTCTTCTTCTGCGCCGGACGAGTCGGGCCGGGCCGGGCCGATCGAGTTAAAGCGGCGTGCACGCGCGCTGACCGTTTCGTTTGTATACTCCGCGAGGCGTTGACCGTTCGTTATTTTCCGAGCGACCAGTTATTTCTAGAAGACGCGAGACCGCTTCGTACACTCTTTCATGCATCGAGCAGACCGCGCGCACGCCGAGCAAACAGACGCGTACTTTCAAATAGATCGTTCGATGCGGCTGACACGCCGGGATTTCACGGATCTTCGACGCTGCTCACGGACTGCTCGATCGTCATTTACGCGACGTCCATTCTCGGACAGTGATCGGTGTCGAAACCGATATGAAAAAGTATTTCAGCAATTCTGGCAATAATTGGCGAAACACTTTTTCTTTCGCACGAGGCGAACCGATAAACTTATCGGTCGCGTAATCTTCGTTCGAAAATTGTCGAGATTACAGAGATCGGGACACGCTATCTGGTAGAGAACCTCGATTATCCGAATTGAACGAACTTTAGCGGACTTTAATTATTATCGGTCGATCGATTTGCGGATTACGGAGCTTATTGACGGCTTATTGTCTCCCTAATTGACGCTTAGATTGTCTACAAAAATGGACGATTTATTTCTCTGCGTTTTTATAGATACGAATTGTCAACGACTATAAAAAACGAGTTGCAAGGCTCGAATAATCGCGTCTCCTCCTGTCTCTTATACACATCTAGATGTGTATAAGAGACAGGAGGAGACGCGATTATTCGAGCCTTGCAACTCGTTTTTTATAGTCGTTGACAATTCGTATCTATAAAAACGCAGAGAAATAAATCGTCCATTTTTGTAGACAATCCTGTCTCTTATACACATCTAGATGTGTATAAGAGACAGGAGGAGACGCGATTATTCGAGCCTTGCAACTCGTTTTTTATAGTCGTTGACAATTCGTATCTATAAAAACGCAGAGAAATAAATCGTCCATTTTTGTAGACAATCCTGTCTCTTATACACATCTAGATGTGTATAAGAGACAGGAGGAGACGCGATTATTCGAGCCTTGCAACTCGTTTTTTATAGTCGTTGACAATTCGTATCTATAAAAACGCAGAGAAATAAATCGTCCATTTTTGTAGACAATCCTGTCTCTTATACACATCTAGATGTGTATAAGAGACAGGAGGAGACGCGATTATTCGAGCCTTGCAACTCGTTTTTTATAGTCGTTGACAATTCGTATCTATAAAAACGCAGAGAAATAAATCGTCCATTTTTGTAGACAATCCTGTCTCTTATACACATCTAGATGTGTATAAGAGACAGGAGGAGACGCGATTATTCGAGCCTTGCAACTCGTTTTTTATAGTCGTTGACAATTCGTATCTATAAAAACGCAGAGAAATAAATCGTCCATTTTTGTAGACAATCCTGTCTCTTATACACATCTAGATGTGTATAAGAGACAGGAGGAGACGCGATTATTCGAGCCTTGCAACTCGTTTTTTATAGTCGTTGACAATTCGTATCTATAAAAACGCAGAGAAATAAATCGTCCATTTTTGTAGACAATCCTGTCTCTTATACACATCTAGATGTGTATAAGAGACAGGAGGAGACGCGATTATTCGAGCCTTGCAACTCGTTTTTTATAGTCGTTGACAATTCGTATCTATAAAAACGCAGAGAAATAAATCGTCCATTTTTGTAGACAATCCTGTCTCTTATACACATCTAGATGTGTATAAGAGACAGATATTATTATATATAATAATATCTGTCTCTTATACACATCTAGATGTGTATAAGAGACAGTTTTTCTGCACAATCTGAGCGTCAGTAAGGGAGACATTACTGTATATAGTATAAAAAATAGTAAAATAGTACGAAAGAATAGTTACGATAGTAATAGCATTAAAAACAATACACAATAGAAACCGATAACAGCGAATAAGAACGAATATCGGGCTAAATGAATGAGCCGAGCCTCGCTGAGGCTACAGAGTACTAAAATTGACTGGCGTATATCGTCGTAAAGATGCAAGTAATTATTCTGACCTCGACATTCTAACAATTGCTGTACCCTGCCTATCAGTTTCGGTTTGTTAACAGAATCTGCCAACACAATATCGGTAGTAACAATATAATACTGGTATTAAATCTGTACCTTGAAAATGCTTCGAACATCACAATGAAATAGAGAAACCAAAAAATACCAATATTTTACAATTAAAAATAGTTAAAGTTCTCCGCGTTTTATTGGACAATGCGCATCGATCGCTGTTAACCGCACGGTGGAATTTCTAGCGTTAATCGATTGGAATTGATCGACAGAGCCGGAGAAGCTGCAGATCATCCAACAGTACCTGAAGTCGTCGGCGAACGACTCGTCGACGGTGGAAACGCCGACCGCGGGAACGTTGTCGATGAACGCATCGTCGACGACGACGACGACGCCGGTCAGCAGCAGCAGCATGATCGCGACCGTGCTTTTAAGCGGCGACCAGTCATTTCCGGAGAGCGGCGCTCGTACCACCGCGGAACCGGAAGCGGAAGCGAGCAGTCCGCCGGCCGTCAACTCCACCAGATACTGCGACGACTGCCTGAACGGGGAGGTGTGCGTCGCCCTCGTCGACGAAGAGGTGCCGATCTGCAGGACCGGCCTGGATCTCGAGGACCCGACCGGATGCGCCGGCTTCTGCCTCGTCAACAAGCAGAAGTGCCATCGTCTCGACGTCGACGCGTTCAGGTGGCTTCATTTTTCGGAGAATCGCCGCCTCTTTGTCGCCCCCCGATGGAACGATTCTTGCGCCTCCTGCGCCTTCGTTCACTCTCGTTCCGAAATTCTGATACCGGAAGAATCGTTATTCGCCTCGGTTCTGTAAGAAATGAACGACGTTTGTATTTATGATGGATCGATTATGTACGAGTACGCGTGGACAGCTCTTAAAACGGAACAACTTATTTCAAACTGGACAAACTAGTTTCGTCCGAACGTGTAACGAAAATTCGAACAGTGCATTTCTAGGCCCCGGTAACTTGGATGTATGTTACGTGGGGAATAAAAAGGCATTGAGATCGTTGTTCGGTTCGGCTTACAATTGGAAATGATTTTTATTTGTATATTTTTCTACTCCCTAAAATCTGGAGAAAGTTCCAAACGTTTCCAAATTTTGCTCCGTTTTGAATCGTTCCGCCTGCAAAGGGTTAAAGCTGCGACGATTTTGAAGAACGTTCACTGCGACACATGTAATTAATATAGAATTCCTTCTGCTCGTTTGAAAGGTGCGTGGAGGTGGAGCACTACTGTCTGGACGACGAGTGGACGTGCGCGAATACTCTCTGCATCCCCTTGGAGAAGCGATGCGACGGCCACATGAATTGCTACGACCATTCGGACGAATTCAATTGCGGTATGCGTCTCCGTCTCCGTCTCCGTCCTGATCCCATTGGCCTAGTTCTTTTTCGCGACCCATGACTTCTCTCTGTGATCGGCTTTGCCGCTTCGTCGCGGCCCGCGAGGCTTCAGTTTGTCAGCTCCCGTTGCAACTGTCGCGACTAATCCGTCGGGTAAATATGTACCTCGTCGACGGAACTGACCGTCTCCGAGCTTCCTCCGATTTCAATCCCTTCCTGTCTTCGTTCACCATCGTTTCCCTTCGTCCCGTTCCGTTGCGGCTCCTCGAGGAGCACAGAAAGTTCTGCAACTTGCACGGGACATCTATAACATCGTCGAGTCGCTAGAATATTTTCGGAGATCACAGTTTTTCTTACAGTCCCTGCAATTTTTTTCTAGGTCATACAGAGTCTCTGCAAGCTCCACAATTTTTTTCGTGGGCCCCACAATTTTTTCGGAACACCTAGAATTTTTTATAGAACACATGTACAATGACTCTGAAAAGTCTCCTTCCCAATTTTCGATATTTAAACTGTTACAACTTACGTTAAAAAAATCGCACAACAAATTTTGATGGACCGTCGCGAAGTGAAAGCTTCAATCTTCGAATCTAGAGTAGATTGATCAGTGAGAAAAATTTGCCAATGTTTTTAGAGAGCTTTCAATTCGTAACAATTTGTAGTATCATATAAAAACAGTATAGCGTTTTTCCTGAATTCTTCATTTTATGAAATACGAATCGAAGAGATAGAAGAGGCTTGAAAGCTTTGAAACGAGTCCAGGTTTAGAATCCCACGTTGCGCGGCTCTTTCCGCGCATAAAACGTAATGGGACGATTTCAACGAATTTTGCGTGCGGGGTAACGGTAACGCGTGGTCTGTTGCAGAATGCGATCCAGAGACGCATTTCCAGTGCGGTAATGAGACCTCCTGCCTTCCGTTGGAGAAGAGATGCGACGGCAAGATAGATTGCTGGGACGCGGCAGACGAGATTAATTGCACGCTCGGTAAGACAGCCGCTAGCGATGAGCGGATGCCGCCTGGCTGCAGTATCGTCGACTGGTCCGAACGATTGCAATTCTTAAACAATTATCAATCTTGTTAACGCCGTCGGGAGGACACCTTTAGAATTGGCTCGTCTTTTCTCCATCGAGAGCAGACCTTCCTGAAACACGAGATTCTATTGTAGACGCTCAACGCAAGCCAATAATCTGATTGTTCGTCGGAAGAACTTCTCTCGCGGCAGAGAATCGTGTTAGAAATGTGCACCGACGAGAGAACCATGGTGACTGATATCAGTTCTAAAATTTGGTCGAGTAAAATACTTCAATTTTATTCAGTTTTTCAGTTTGTCGGTGCGACAATTAAAGAGTTAAAGCACGAACGATACAGCTAAAATACAGCTAAATTCTTGGGCAGTCTACTCGACACTCGTGCAAAGTTTTATGAAAATCTGTATCTGTGCATCAGTCACCGTGATTCCCTTGCGAGTTCTCCGTGGGAGACCGAGTGACCCCGTGCATCTGCCAGTCGAGATATCTACGGATCACGGTGTTCGCCTACCTTTTCTTTATATATTTTTCTCCCCATCTCTTCCCCTCTGTCACTCTTTCTGAACTTTGGTTTTTTTTCTGTTCTCCCTCGTAGGTGGTAATCTCGGGTGGTGTGAGTACATTATTCGTTAATTTCGAATTGCATCGCTGTCCGCCGCATGCGAAAGTCACACGCTTCCTCATAGACACTTTCCTCCTGTCCGAGACAACGATTCCTTTGATTTCGCTCCGCACACAATGGCCGCTTTTCATTGCGCTGTTCAAGCTGCTCTCTTGCACGGTATACGTAATCATGCATTAGAAAAACACGGTACACGTTTGCTTTGATTAATAACCATTAATCTCTTCAAGGACGCGTCGGCTCATTGAGACGGTCGAAACTGAATGGCCGCATTCGCGGGCATCGTTTTCGTTGAGCTTTGTTGTTCCAGAGAAGAAGAACAATCGAGTCACAGTGTTGTCGAACGTTCGCTTAAACCATCCGATCCTGACCGATGCACGCCAGCTTTTTAATGCTAAAATATATTGCACGCGATCGTTTGCCTGCCCGGCTTTCTCGATTAACAAGTCGTAGGCGCGTTTCGAGCACTCACAGAAACGCCGATTGCTTTCTCTGTTGGCAACACCAGCGTGTCCGTCGAAGAACGAGTTCACGTGCAGCGACGGCCAGTGCATATCGGAAGCTCGTTTCTGCGACGGCCTGCCAGACTGCGTCGACGGGTCCGACGAGCCATCCGGTTGCCAAGGACGTTGCAACAAGCACGAATTCACGTGCCAGTAAGTTTCGACAGATCACAGCGATGGGATCGAGAGATTATCTTTTAGACTAAAATTTAGACATATGGACAGTTTACACAAAGAAGAAAGTAACATTGATAGTGTCGTACTTCTCTGTGAGAAGGTTTGCTGCTCTTCAGGAGAATAATCTCTCGATCCCAACTTCTCTGACAATAAGGCAAATTTTATTTTCCAACAGAATTGTCGAATATCGTTTGATCACGTATGAACGTTTCGATTGTGTGCAGAAACAATAGGTGCATCACGAAGGGGATGAAGTGCAATGGTGTCGACGACTGCGGCGACGGAACCGACGAGAGGCACTGCAAGCACAGAATCCTCTGATCTCTCGTACCGGCCGAGTCTATATCACAGTATTTTTCTTACAGGAAGAGAGCGACGAATGTAATTAATGTATATATTTATACATATATATACCATTGTGCCGTATAGATATGCAGCGATGCATAATAAATTGTTTACATGGCGGTATACAAGCGGTCGACTGCAATTAGGAAATGACATATTTTATTGATGTATAATAGTCGATTACAAGTGCCGTATTTTATACCGCGAAGTCTTTTTCAATGAAACATTATACATTTATAGGTTTCCTCCTCTTTCTTCCACGGTGCTACAGATACACGACACATACACATATATTTTCGCGCTCTCTCGTTATATTATTATCGTCGTCGTCATCATTATCGTTATTACCAGCATCATCGTCATCAAAACGAAACAGTTCTCGCAGCATTTGTACACATCCGAGACGCGCTGCAAGTCTTCCAGAAACCGGACGATCTGTTTCTATGTTTCGTTTCGATTCGCATCGGTATTATGCGTAAAATCTTTTATCGGTAGTTCTCCCTCATTGCACATATCATGACTGTCAAAAAATAACTGGGAAGCACAGCTTTGCTTTTAAATTGAATTTCGTGACTGATTAAAAATCTTACGATCATAACTAACGGAATAAAAAAGCTTGGCTGTCGAGAGAGACTCGCGGTATACCATACATATATTTTTGTATACAGTGGATTTCCTCGCAACTATATAAAAATTTCAAACATTCGCATGAATGCGAATAAGCCTTTCACGCGAAACATTGTCCAAACGAAATGTATTCAACACGATAAATATATACAGGTAATACGGACCGTTGCCGAAATAGCTGATTAAACTCAGAAAGCATATACTGCCTCTGACAAGAACCGAGGAATCTCGTGGATGTGCACATCCGACGAGTCTTCTCATTCCTAAGCCAGAAATGGACAAGACCGTAAAAATTGATTCTTAAAACGATTAAACTCGGTTCCCGTTAACTGCTTTCCTTGCTTATGTTTCAAACGAAACTGTAAGTTTGTCCATTTCCGGCCTATAGATAGCATTTGCGACCATCGATGTACGTTGCCAAGGTATTGGCGGTCTATTTCAAGAGGGTCCTGTGAATCTAACGCAGGCATCGAAGTACTGTTCGAGCAAGCGGTTTCCATGGGTCCTCTCGAGCGTGTCTCGATCGGCAGAATTTAGAGAAACTCGTCCGGCTCTCTCGGTGCGTCGAGATCGCGATAATGAATGACTGGTCGGAAGTCTCCTCCACCGCCACTGTAACGTTGAACAACAATTAAGATGTCTGTGTTCGGAAAATAATCGGGAGAATGGTAGAAGTAATGATGTGCGGAAGCCAATGAGAGAGTTCGAGGAGGCCGATCAACGTAATCGCGTCTGACTTACGACCAACTGGACATAGGAATTCGTACGGAAATCATGGGATGAAAGAAAATAAAAGCACACACTGTGTAAGCAGTAACAAATAAGTTTATTTGTTAGTCCTTTTACTGACACGGTTACAGCATTTGCCGATCTTTTTCTAACGACCCTCCTCGTTCCCTCCAGTATTATTCCACCATTATCGACATAGGAACGCGAAGCCTTGTACTCGCTCTATTAAAATACGCGTGACGTATTCGAAGCTAATTTCATTCCGTTCTCAGAGGAATATCTTTTTACATGAGCCGTGCAAAAATGAATCTCGTGTAAAGAGCAAGATAAAACGTGCTGATTCTGTAACACAGTTCTCGTTGTCGATTGTTTTAGTGTTCGAAATGTTCTGCGATATCGACGTGCGGTGTGTCACATAATCCAGATTTAAAATCTGCTAGCACGGATGCGAGTCTGATTATCGCTTGGATTTGCTCCCGTTTGCCGTTTAGGCACTCCGCGCGAATGACACGAGGGTGCCGGGTCAAACTCGATTAAACTTAGAACATGTCCATATCTAGCTGGTCCAAGTCATTATAACTAACAATAGGCCTCGAGGTTGAGTCCGGAGCAGCCCTGTAAAACAGTGGATCACACCGCGTTCAATAGACACGTCGCAGACGAACGAGAAACGAGAAAAGAAATGAGAACAGAAGAATTTTCAAACTGTACTTTCCGCGATCGACGGGATCTCTATGTACATAGTTGATCGTTCTTTTATTAGCCGCTCGAGTAGCTCGACACACAGCAAACACATACCGGAGATTGCGTACAACATGCGTGTCGCATGCAACAGAGAAAAGAATTGTGTTCCTTACCGTCCTCTATTGAAACCACCGCGACTTGGGCGGGGCATTCCGAATCCTCCACCGAATCCTCCGCCGTAACTGGACCCGTAGCCTCCTCCTCTGTTGCTACCGTAACCGCTCCCGTAACTTCCGAATCTATGGAAGTCAAGGATTTCCAGATTTAGAGAAAGAAATCCTGATAGTTAGCTCGAAGCATCGACACTTACGTGGAGCATCCGTAGGGGTTGAATCCACCCTCGCGCATACCACCTTCTCTGGGTGGCGCCTTGTTGCCAGGATGTTCGGGCAACTGTGGCCTCTTCGGGTCCCTCAAATAATTGTTGAAATATTCCGCCTCTGCTTTGACCTCGGCCACCTTCTCCGCGTGCTTGTTGAAGATATGTTTGCGAATGAAGTCCGGACCCTTAAACTTCTTCCCGCTGAGTGGACACAACCACTTGTCTTTCGACAATTCTTGCGTATTCGCTTGCACGAACTTCTCCACTTCACTAATACAAAACGCTTAAGGAAAGTAAATCACCCGTTGACAAAGATTACGATCATGTCGGCTGTCTTAAGAAGGATACGTTTCCGCGTTCTTGGCACCGAGCTTATCAAATTCTTCGTGGGACAGAGTGGCGACCGGCTGCAAGAAGGCTGCCATCTTGCTCTCGAAATTACGACAGTACTCTGATAACTCGGTGCTGGACACTTTGGCGGTCGGAGGCGATCCTCTGACGTGCATTATGCCACACCTGTTAGGCATCTCGTCCTCGTTAGGGTACTCGCAGTGATTGTAGTAATCAACGGAGTGCACTATCCGCAGGTAGAGAATCAGTCTATCGAGTACCTAACGAACGAAGAGGGCTTAGAATGTTTGCTGGAGATTGTTGAATAACACGGTGATGATACCTTGACTAGTGTCGGGTCTCTCTCGATGGGTCCATCCCCGTCACCTCCCAGCTGTCCCTCCTCCTGGTCGCCGGACATTCCTAGCAGCTCTTCCTCCTCTGCAGATGCTTCCTCTATCAGGTAATCGGTTATGTTCTTCAACACTGGATTCTTCGAAGATAGTCCGAACGCCTATCGATACAGGAAAATGTTTTTAGAAAATTTATCTCGCAGCAGAAGCAAACCGAGCATTGACTTACAGCTTGCTCAACCTCGTGAGCATTTTGTGCGCCTTTAACATCTTTGATGTCCTCTTCCTGCTTCGCCGCGCTATCCTCTTTCCTCTCTTCGTTCCACAAACCGACTCTGTTGTCCAAATTATGCACGATTTTTGCGCTCAGTTTGATGTCGTGTCGAACGATCTGCTTGTGGGATGTCAGGCCGTTCACCGTGCGAATGCGACGCGAGAGATCTCTGTTCACTATCGCACCCAGCTCGCAGTCTCTGAGCTGTAGTAAATCAGATTAGAAAGCTTTCAAAAATTAATTACTATGTTGCCAACTTACTCGAATATTATTCAGGCTCCAGCATATCTCCTTTATGTTAACTTGTCTCTCGAAGGACACCCATCCTCTTCTGAACCATCTCCTTTCCGGCTGAGGATCTGCGATGGCAACTCGTAAGAATCCAGGAAAGCGTTTGCACATCTATTTTGAACAATTTGTTAGTAAATTTCGAAGGAGAAATATCAAACCGAATCTTTATGCCAGAAATCATTTAACTGACCGCCTCTACTTCTGCTTTCGTGATGGTAGGTGCCAAATTACGAAGGAAAATGCTGCTAGTTTTGTGCAATGCCCTAGGCTCTTTCTCCTTATCTTCGCTGGCGAGGTCGATCACAGCCTCTGGCTCTATCGCAGCCTTCTTAGGTTCCGTTGGTTCACCGTCAGACTTGTTAGCTTCTCGTTCTTCTTCTTTCTCTTCCCCAGCTTCCACGTTCTCGTTGCTCGCGTCCGCTTTCTCGCCGGTAGCTAAGGCGTAACATGTCCTTAAGTATGATTTCACTATCAAACACACTGCGCGATTAATCACGACTTACAAGCTTCTTCCTTTGGTGTGTCGGGTTTGTTGCTGTCGCTGCCCGAAGAACTACTACTGCTACTGCTGCTGCTGCTGCTACTGTTGCTGTCGGTGCGCTTCCTTTTCTTGGGGTTAATTTCTTCTAATTTACCTATCGCATCAAAACAAAACAAAACTTATAGAACAGCGAGAAATGTTATTTCATCTTCTCGAATAGAAAAAAAAAATACCGTTCCCTTCCATGTCATCGTCTTTCTTCGGTTCCTCAACTGTCTCTTCAGATTTCGCAGGCTCCTCGTTCAAGTTCTCCTCCTTTTCCACAATCTTCATTTCCACGTCCGCGGGCTGTCCGTTTTTACACGTTTTCTCTGGACGCGAAGGCTCTTCCGGTTTACTAACTTCGCTACAGAATCGAACAAATGAATCTTGTTGTTATCGGAATTGTTTTTGAGACATTTCGAATCCTCACCTATTGTCTGTTTTCTTATCAACCGCAGGTTTATTCTTCGCGTCCTCTTTCTCTTTAGCAACCTCTTTCGAAATAATTGGGTTTACTAGCTTCACATCTAGAACTTGCAGATCTTCCTCGGTACCGCCTTCTAGTTTAATTACTACAGCATCCAACAAATGAAGCAAAGCGTCTGCTTGCTCGGCGTCTACCGAAACCTTGTCGATCTCTTCGGCGTCAAGCATTTCTAAGAAAACTTCAACGCGTTTCTGTGAAAGAAAATTGTAGTCAGAAAGACCGGTAAGAATAATTTGATAAGAATTTAAAAATCCTGAAGCCGATACCTTAAGGGCAGACACTTGTTCCTCCTTTCTCTTCACAGACTCTTCAGGATGGTACTTAATTTTGAACCTGACAATCGAGAGAAAGTTTGATATTAGTCACAGCTTTCTCTGGCAGACTTTTATCGATAGGAAAGCAAACAGACGTACAATTTTGTGGACTTATGGTTATGGTTCGTTACGTTCGGAAAATTAACATGTAAATCAAAGATATCAGTTAGTTTCAGACTTCTCGATAGAATATATATCTAAACGCGTCTATAGAGGAGCACAACATGTGTACGGTTTATCGATCGAGATTATCCGTGATCGTGAACGACCACTATAGATAATAGAAACAGAATGATTCAACAGCGACCGAAATCAGTCTCCCTTCTTCGCGGTCAGGAACAAACGGTTCCTCTCGTGATCAAGCATATTAAACTCATTAATCATCAGTTTCGCTCGAGGCACGATTATTTTACACAATTAATCAGTTTTACTGTCAACAATTGTCAGTTACAGAATGAGGCCTCACCTGTAGGTGTTATTTTAACTCGCATTCAGTTTTCTCGTCGACTCAGAGATCTATTTGCAAACGATTACGTTCTCATCGTTTTTCGAATTCAGTGAGAGTGATTAAACGGGTTTAGAGCGCGGCCTACCGCGAGCAGATTTGGGCTTTGCGCGCCCAGCTCGCATTTTTCATTAGCTACCTAATAGACACTTTTTGTTCGAATCTTCTGCGATGCGCGTCACGCGGTATGCATAAAATGTACGGAAAAAATAAACGAGCGAGACGACCTGTGCCCAAGACAAGGCGTTGCTGGCTGTATGGCTGTAGGGATAGACAGAGAGAGCTGGTCATATTGGCTTGAATATTACCGATAAAATGGTGTCTGCAATTTAGCAAAAATTATAAAGCCGCTAACACCCTCCTTTCCCCTTTCTGGCCAACGCGTATGCCATCCTTGGTGCATACACGCTAGGCCAGAAATTCGTTGATACGAATTCGGATCCAACGATTACTTTCTACAGTGGACGATGATGGTTCCGTGGTAACAGGCATCGAGAAACTATATGTTCTCGTCTCGTGTGAGTTTTAGTGGTACATTTAGTGTTTTAGTTGTGAACACGTGCGTCGGACCACTGTAGAAATTAATTGCTATTGTTGTAACCGCGTTTCAAGGCACGGCTGAGCTGCATGTTACGTTAGAGATGAATTTTCAAGCTGACGACGAAACGAAATATACCATTCCTCGTCCTTGTGAGCGACGAAGAACTCATTCAACTGTTGACGCCTGAACTCCAGCTTGTACTCGTTGTAACGTTTGATAGCTTCCTCGTCGGTGATCGTATCCTCCTGTGTCCCCAGGAACGCTTTGAAAGACATCATCGGCGGCTGGGTCTCCACATTCGAATTACTGAAGTTGCCAGCCACCTCACGACTGCGCCAAGTACGAACAGAAATTAATGGTTAACGAAAACAACGCCAGGTTATTGCTACCTCAAACGAGCCAGCAGGTGCGGAGTAAATCTATTCCGTTTCTGCGTAATCGCTATGCAACCTCTCATTTTCATGACAAGCTGCCGACGTGCTCAGAATCAACTTCCAGAAAAGAAAAAAAATTGGTTACAAACATAACGCAAGAAACACAAACCTGCTGCTATTAGCATGATTTCCATAATGATGATTGCCGTGATGAGGTGGAGGGTAATGATCTGGTCCCCAGGATGCACCCCCACCTCCACCACCTCCGTAATAATCGTGACCGTATCTAGGACGATCGTCCCAATCTGCCCTCATTCTTTTCATCGGTGGGGCCATTTCTTGCGACCTAGCTGGACTGTACCTGTCTCTTCCTCCGCCCCCACCACCACGATACTCCCTGTAGTCCGGACGTTGCCTAGGTCGACTGGACCACTCTCTAGAATAGTTGCTGGCATTATAAGAACAAGAGGCAGTATTGACGGATAGATTCCCATGGTAACTAAGTAGAACAAAACCGTACATGATTAAACAACGTCATAATTACCTGTCGACCCAGTCATCTCTTCTCCTATCGTCTCTACGACCTTCCCTCGAATAAGACTCTGTCCGTTCCCCTTTGAACTTGTCTCTCCTCTTCCTGTCGTACTCATCGTCCGAGTCGCCCATCGTACAAAATATTACGTCACTGCTGAAACGTGTGACAAGATGGAAAGATATTAGAAACGCATTCGGAGATCGAAGAGTACGCCGATCTCGAATCCCACCATACCAGATGGGGGTTAAGTAGGCGATAGGAGCACATCATTTCTCGGCGTAATTTGCGTTACTATTTTCAAACATTCTCCGCTAGAACTAGGATTCAAAGGAAATTGCGCCGCTAACAAAATGTTTGGCCAGCAGCCAGGTGCTTGTGAGTAAATTCTCGAACGAAACATTCGTATAACGCGCGAGTCAGGTCCTCCGAACGATCGGGTTCTGTCGCGTTTAGTGAGCTAATCGACCCGCACAACACGTTTGTGAAGCGATCGTGCGAATGACGTGATCGAATAGAATGCGGATAAGTCGAAAGCGAAACTTACATAGATCAGGTACTCCGTTAAAAGAAATCAGGCATGGAGGACTTTCGCCATCCGTTACTGTGCGTCACCATCCACCATACCGTTCCTCCCGTCGTGAGGTGCGGCGTCAGCGTCGTTGTCGAAATTCGTTCTCTATCGATTTCTTTCCGCGTTCGAGACCCGCGAAATTCAAACGTAAAAATCGAATTGAATTAATATCTTACGATCAACAGTTAATATTTTTCATCAACGATTGACCGAAATTAAGTTAAACATTTTCACCGTTCAATGCCTGATTTAGGACAGTGGGGAATATAAATATGTGTGGTACAACGAATGTAGATTTGGTAATCAATTATCTTTATTTACAAAGTAAGTTTATTAATTTATATCGTCCACTACGCAGGATATAACTCGGAAGAAGCTTCAACTTCTTTTCTTATGTTAATGCTGTGTAAAGAAGTTTTCTATAACAAAAAGGGAACTATGCATGCTTCGAACAAGTAATTTCATGAAATTACAGAGTTTCATAAAACTTACGTGTATTGTCTATTCCACTACAATTCTACAGCTTGGAAAATTGCGTACAGTGTTAAATTATTTTTATTGCATAATATATAGGACATTCTTATAAAATGGTTATCAGTAGACTGCAGATGTTAATGGGAATATTAACTTTTACAATATAGTTCACAGACAGTGACGTTAAGCAGTCAATTCTGTACTCTCAAATGAAATGAAATAAAAGCTTCATTGGATATTGTTGAACCTTCTGCCGTTGTAAGCTCTAAGAATCAGAGTCCGATAGAAATGCATACAATCCGCAGTCTAGTTATCTAAATACTTTTTGTTGCACATATTATTGCCCTTATCGATAAGTGGGGTGTGTGTAGCTCTTGAAGCATGTAAACGTTACTATTAAAAAACCTGCGGTGCTTTGAATTTGACTTTCTTTGTCACATAGAGTGTCTTACATTACATTGATACGTATCATGGAACATTTCTGATAAATATTTTCATGGATATCTCGGAGACACCCTGCATCACAATATCAGTCAAGTTACAAAAGGTCTACATCGATCGTGTCGTAGTTTCATTTTAATTACAGTTTCAGAAATGATGTGTACAATATGCTTATACGAATAAATAAATAAATAAATCTTTACAGGCGCAATGTAAAACTGTTGGGGATACGTTTCCAGAGTATCGATTTTATACGTTCACGCTGACTTTTCCAGATTACAAAGAACAATATGTCAGTCTCAGACGCAATATAAAAGAATGTAACAAATATAAACAATGAAATAAACTTTCAAATACACGGTCAACAAACATTCTTACACATTTGTTCGCTTCAACGAGTCAATTACGTGTCCAGGGCATTCTCCCTATCGAAACACCGTCGTTTATCGACAAAGCTTCGCGAATTAACAGAGTTTCCAAAGGACAAGGCCGCATTAGTCATTTCTTGGATCGTGCTACAACGATACTATTAAATGATACAGTATAGTCTAGTAGTACATAGTATGGTTGGATATAAATCTGAATATTATTGATGCACACTTTAGAAATAGATTTACACTCTTACGTTGCCAAGCGGATCGTGTCCTCGCGTTACCATCAATTGTGTAAACAACATAAGTATTTCTATTAAGAGAAATAGTTATCGCTCACGTTGGAACCAATGAATAATAAATGAGTGGTACTCATTGATTGACAAAGTAGAATTAATATACGCATATACCTCTATATATATATATATGTAAATGTATACAAACAACTTATTCGTGGAAGATTACGTACAATAGTAAATTCTACGTCTTACATACTTCTAATTCCTGCGACCTTCTACCGAAAACAAACTGCCCATACGATCTTTTTACAATTTCAATCACTTCTCCGAATCAAAAAATTATGAAACATAAATAATGTGCATTCAAATTCCGTTCCTGTTACATTCGAATTGCAATGTATTCCTCCTACTTAACAATGGAACTTTTTTTTTATTACATATTTATATAAACATCAGAAGAATATATTTAAAAAATTAGAACTGATTTTAAGTATAAGAAGAGGTAATGAAATCACAAGTAATAGTAAACATAAAATAAATTAGACATACTTGCAACATTTCAAAGGCTGTGTTCATCTCTAATTTGAACTACATTATATCTAGTTCTAGACTTAAATATCATATACATCAATTTGTGAAATAAACATTTAACATTAATATAGACGTACCTTAGTAGGGTAAAATATAATTTTTATATTCTTACTTAAATGCATATTGTGATCGTTTCCTCTCTTATTCTTTTGCAAATTGATAAAAATTAATGCAGTACTAATTGATTCTGTATAGATAAGTTTAAATAAGAAAAACCAAAAAAAATAATGCACACTCCACATTCGTTAGTTTGATACTCTGGCAGTGTAAAGATAACGATTGACAATTTATCAAGTAGTTGTAACAATTTTAAAGGAGATATTCCTAAAAATTCATTCAGTAAACAGACGATCGTATTGTTCATAATTAATCCGAATCACTAGATAATAAGAAATAGTAAGTTATTAAAAATATTATACGTATGCATAAGATTGCACCACATCTACCGAAGTCGCTCAACTTATGAAAATCAATTATTCTTTTTTTTTTGGAATGATAATTCACCGCGGTCGCATGCGTAGAAATTAAACCGCACAAGCTATCGCTTATTTTTGGCAAGCTATTTATATATTTATAAATATAAATATCAACAAAGTTCCAATATTATTTAATTCTATATTTATTGTATGCCCAGTTATAATGGCATATTGAACTAGTATATCCCATAGAATACTTGACGTTCATTTCGCATACTCTTTGTGATGATAACCTTCTATGAATAAATATTAAATGAATCGACGAACGTATAATAGTTGCCAAATGTGCAAGGAGGTGTTATGAAAAATATATTTAGGTATAAAAAATGAAACTACTTTACAAGTTCCACTGAAAGCAGGGTATGACTTAAAAAAGAATACACATAGACTTGGATTAATATCATCGACAGGAAATAGTACGAAGACGGAACAACCGATCAGCGTAGATCTGGATTATCGTTAACTTGTTTTTTAATGCGTAATAATACTGTTGTGTACCACTGATCCAATCGTGAAATTGAATCGTATTCCTTTACCGCCTCTGTGAAACCTTCGAGATGTTGTTCTTCTAAATGTTCTATCAACGTCTGAAACGAAAGTTAGATGATCTAACGTATGAAAACGCGAATTAAATTTTCGGTACATTCCGACTTTCGACTTAGGCCGACCACATTAATAACCGAAAAAAATGCTCACCTTTATTAATTTACATTCTCTAGAGTCTTGAAATGCAGGATATTGCTCTTGGTAGCGTTCGATCGCGTGCTGTGCATTTAAAACGTCGACGCATAAGTGACATAGTGCCGCTCGGAAGAAATATTCTTTCGCGCTGTACTTCAATAAAGAACTTTCTAAAGATGAAGAAGCAACCTGTAACAGCGAAAGGAAAGTTATACGATTTCTCAGTTCTTAGAAAGTATCTTCGATAGCAAGAATTTTAATTATTTCACCTGTTCATAAATTTGAATAGCCTTATCGTAATTTTCAAGTTGTGCAGCGTACTGCGCAACTTTCAAAAGACACTTGTTGGCAGAAGAATTGCTTTCCTCCCCACGAAAATAATCGGCAGCTTGTTCATAATGATGTACAGCTCTCTCAAGATCTACCGCATCGCTTTCATACATTTCGGCTATACTTTGATGGTGCTTGGCCGCCATTGTAAATCTACCCATATCTGTGTAGATTTCAATTGCTTTCACCAAACAGCTGATAGCCTCTGCATCAAATGAATCAAAGATCAGGCTAATATTCTTTTCACGAGTAGAGAAATTAATTTTATAAATATTATCGTACCATTTATATTAGATTTCTTAAAGCAATTTGCAGCATCTACAAAATTACTAGCTGCGTCATGTCGATTCCCCGCTTTCCCATGTAATTCTGCTGCTTCGTAGAAAGCACTGCCAGCCGAACTCCATTTCTTTGCCATCTTGAACATATTCGCAGCGCGTTGGTAACATTCTACAGCCTCTTCAACTTTTGAAGAACTTCTGCAAAATATGGAAGTCGTCATTAATAAAAAAATAATTAAAATTAAAACAAACCACAAAAACACGAAAATCACAAATACAGAGTAAAAAGCAGAAATTCGAATATTTTCGAAATATATTGGCACCGTCGATTCGTTGGCATAAAAACTGTCTAGAGCTTATTTAGAGCACATTAAAAATAGATTTTATTCAATTGTCAATAATATCCAAAAAAACATTTTTATACTCAACTACGGTGCGTGAAAATTACATTGTTTTCGTCAAGCCGATGACAGCTTATCATATTAATTTCATCGGTGTGGAATGGATTAATGTAGTTTCAACACGCTATATCCCAACTGAATGGCAACTGTTATACATATACAGATGTACGTGCATACAAGTGCACCACACAAAGAAGCTGAGCATCGAACGATTCGAGAAGAATGAGAAATCCATCCGCTGGGACAGAACGAAATTCCATTTGATGGAAAAAGAACAAGATGTCCATTCCATTGATGAATCGTGATAAATAAATAACGACATCCGAGAGAGCACTACTGGATCCTAGTGTCGGACGAGTTCAAGTAAATCGATGTGGATATAAACTTACCCGAACAGAGAGCCGAAGAAACCTTTCGAATTGAGTTTCTTCTCGGCCTCGGCCAGCAGTTGCATCGCTTTCTGTTCACTGTCAGCCATCGTCACTTTGAATCCTGGCAAACAATCAGTCGCAATAAACGTCTCAGATCATGAACGTCGCACGAACAGTTCACCTCTTAGAAAAAGACGTCACTAAAGTCAATGAAAGTGAATCGAGTGTCATCCGCGGCAGGTTAGCCAACACTCAAGAAAATCGCTACGGGGGATTAAGCCTCGTTCGCAATCGTATTGCGCACTTCCAACTGCGCAGTCCGATGATACCCAGTCGATTAATCAACGTCTTTTTTCGCGAGAATAAAAGATTCTTTTTAATCGCAAAGCATTTTAACTGCAGTCCACATTTTAAGCAGTTTAACTACAGAAATCCTATTTATAAAATTATTTAGGATTGCCGATTCGATGATTTGGATAAATCAGAGATCTGCCGCGCGACTAAACCGATCTTTCCATTGAAAAAATGAACGAATCAGAGCTCCGTCACGTGATCCAACCGACCACCGTCATTATTGAATCTCCTTTGAATCGAACGACAAATTCTTTTCCATTCATCCGACGAAAACTGAGATTGAAATTCTAAAAAGATATTATTATCGAATTGATGAGCGTATTCCCACGTTGAAAGGAACATTCGAAGATGTCGGGAGTATATAGACAACCGTTGAATCTGTTGCAACCTGGCGCGCAAAATGCGCTCGTGATCGGTGTCATTATAAACAGTTTCAACATGAAAACGATCGATGCTTCGCGATCAAGATGTACGAATTTTATAATATCTGTATATTTCTCAAACGAGACTGGTAGTTGAATCCAACGAAACACAAAGTGCCCGTTATTGATGAAACGAATTGTATTGATATTTTCAGTTAATTGCGGCGAACGCGGCGTATGGACTTTCACATTACGCGATTCCGAAGATGACACGATAAACGTGACCGTATGGGGTAGCGTGCAATTTGTAAGAAAATTGTCCACGAATTTTCACGTGGGTAGTGTAGGTTTGTATCCAGTCGAAATCGTTTCGTTTTTGCCCTTCGATATTTTGGAATTTGAAGGGTATACAGGACGATTTGAAAGTTCTGTACACCAATCACCGTGTTCCAACATGTATGATTGTTAATTCGATGTTCGACTCGCAGTAGAAGTGATTAACCCGAAGGTGAAGGAACGTCTCCCAGAAGATAGAAACGAACTCTTTGTACCATCTGTGTCGAATCGATCTAGCCTTACGGTCAACGAGGGAAACTCGCTGGTGCAAGCTCACGACGCACCAACACGATCGCAATACGAAGCCCTTTTGACGCAGCCAATCAAGTGCCTAACCTTCGCACAATCTCTGAAAAGCATTTTCGATCATTTGGAGGCGCTACGCGACTCATACGTCGACGTCTTGGTCGTCGTCACGTTTGTATGTTTTCTCCCACCTGTTGCCGAACACCCTGTAACATATTCGATCAAGGTCGTTCGGTCGCCGAGCCCGTACACGTGCGAATAGATGACACTTTTTTAATTCCCTGTGCAATTGATAGGTCAGCGATATTCGTAACGTGATCACGCGAGATGGGAGAAGCATTAGATTCCGGAATTTCGAGGCGGCAGACGCCTCTACGGACGAAGTGGCGTCAATGGTGCTATGGGAGAACGAATGGATCGGCAGAGCCGCGTTTTGGGAGCCCAGACGGACTGTACTTTCCCTGACGGACGCTCGCGTCGCTTATGATAATTTTAAGAAAAGGACAGTCTTATCAATAGGTCGTAACTAAGAATTAATGCTGAAGCGTTTACCGACAACGATAAAGGTGAATCGCTTTAAAAGATATATATTCACGAACCTTCGGGTGTGTAAAATTTCAGTTAGGAAAACCCTGATCGTCGAAAATCCCAACTCACCGCAAACGACGACCATCAGGAATTCCCTACAATATTACGACCCGGACGTAATGTCTGGAAACACGTTCGCGTCGCCCAATCGTAAGGAAGAGATTGAATTCCATTTACACGCCTCGAAAACGCGAACATGCCTCGTCATTCTTTCAATTCTTTTCCTTCCAGCGGATACTATTTCTACCGTGATGACTATACAGGAAATTTCTGACAGGTTGAATAAACACTCGAAGCCGGGGGAGAGACTTCAGTTTGCCGTCATTTTGAAGGCCTACGTAATGGACATAAACATCGAGAGCACGAGTTCTACGATCATAACTAGAAGATGGTTTTATTCCTCATCTTTTCCTTGCCACAAACATATTTTAACGTTGCCCGTAGACACGTTATGATTTATTGTACGACGGCTTGTCCATCTATTGTTGCTATTATTATTATATCCACTATGTCTATTATATATACATATATATATATCCACGTATTGTTAGGGCCGTTATTTTATTACGAATCGTCGTGCGATAAATTGTAATACGAAATTCTCGAATGACACGATCTCAATCGAGCTTTCATTTTCTGCAGCGCGTTATGCAAGAAAATCATCCTCGACGACAACGACTCGTGTATGGATCTCGAATGCCCGTCGGGAAACGGATCACGCGTTCCCATGAACGTAGTGAGTTTTAATTTGAAAGTAAACTTGAAAGACGACACAGGATATCTGATCGGGTGCAAGTTATCGGGAGACACTGCTGAACGCGTCCTTGGTTGTACAGCTACCGAATTTCTGGTTGTTCATGATAATATTCTCAAAATCTTCTCTTTTGCCGATTCATCCGGTTCTTAAATGAAAGCTTTCGCGGGTTTCAGGCGATGAAAATTTCCCAACGCGAAGACTTGAAGTGGAAATACGCGTTGGAAAAATGCGACATTCGCTTACACATTCTTGGACCAACGGCTACCTTCCCGAGCGCCGTTTACAATATTTTGTTCATCAGCAGGGACGAAGAGGATGACGAGGACACGCAACCGCTCAACGAGTTTGCAAACTGGGCCGATGCCTGAAATATTTGGATTTAACGATCTTACGTATTCCACGTGTTAATGGATCATCACTTTATCATATATAATCGTAAAGTACAATGTTTCGATAATAACGTGAAGTTGTTAAAGAACTATCTTCAATAGCAATAAAACTGACTTTAAACTTAATGGCGCTTTCGATCAGCTGATTGGTAGATACGCGATTCGTTGATCTAAACACAGCACTACACAGAGAGTACTGCACAGCACGATGGTTCTTACGAAGTGTCATTTACGACACGTGTGTTTTTATTAAGCAACTGTATTTTCTTTGAATTGTTTTTATAGTTTTGAATTTAGGAAGAGAAATGGAAGCAGATGTTCCTACGAAAGTAAACTCTGTCGAGGTTATACGGGAGGCCTTGAGAGAATTAAGCTACGCGGAAAGAAAAGAGCACCGTATACAAATACTGAACAAAAACCGTGTGACTTTGGGTAACATTGTATTGGACTCAGCTTTTACGCCAGAATTCGTTATCGAAAAGGCGAAAGCACTTAAGAAGAAACAGATATCGACAGAGGAGTACAAGCAGTTACAAAACGCTCTTATTCAGGTTAATAGATTCTAGTTTTAATTACTTGTAAATTATGAGCTTCTAACTCAGTATGTACTTTCAAGTTAATCACTCTAACTAATTCACACTAACTACATTCAATTAAATACACTTGAAACGTTTTAACTGTGGAACTCGCATAGATAATAAGAATATTTCTTTTTAATTTGTTTTTATTTCAATGCTAGGGCGAGGAGAATGTGACAGCATTTCTGAAAGTGCAGAGTATAATAATTTCCTTGGTACGTGATTTGTGCAGTCCTAATCCTGTTCTGCAGTTATCTGCCATCAGTTGCTGTTGCAACATAGCGCTGGGAAATCCCAAGGCTTGTACTATATTAACAAAACACATTGCGCCATATCTTATCACAGAATTGGATTGTTATCCAAACTATCCTCTATTGGTAAGTTATAAAATATTCAATGGAAAAGACAATATGACTAATAATATGTATTTACTTTTCTTCACAGGAAGTTTGCATGTGGACAGTAGGGAATTTGGTAGCCGAAAGCAGGAGATCTTTTGAAATTCTTCAAGCGCACGATTGTTTAAAATATATTACATCACTGATACACAATTGCGATAGCACCATTTTGGCTTCGGTAATATATGCAGCTGTCCACTACGTACACATTGGTTTTAAACATATCCCGTAAGGACTAAAAGAGTTGATTCATTTTATTTTTTCACTCGTCGATTAGAAAAATATAGAATACTTGTTAGAGGCAGTATTATTAATGGCACAAATACTTTCAGTGAAAATGAAATGGTTGAACTTGTTAAGACTTGTACAGAGAGGATTGTCTCCTTTGAAAATCCATACTTTATTTGGCTGCTAGCTCTATTGTCCTCTCATGCTGTCTGCAACACATATTTATATAATACAGTACCTTTGATGCTAGATTACTTACATCAAAACACTGCAAACAACATCACTGCTGTAACAGAGGCATGGTATTCTTTTATCAATCGTTTTCTACATTGAAATGGAAATAATAGGAAAGATCTCCTCATTTTATTTTAGATCACAGCGTGTATAAGAATATTAGCCAACACTGTTAGTGAAAAATCTGGGCAATTAGCCAAATTTCTTTTTAGCAATCCAAAGTATGAAGAAACAAATTCTGAGATGTTAAACAGACTACTATCGTGCCAACACTTACACGTTAGGAAGGAAACTTTATGGTTAATAGGTAGTTATATATTAATTTGTTATTAAATTAAACAGCGAACGTTAACGTTTCAAGAGGAATAATAAATAATATTTCAGGCAACCTATACAACCATAACTGCTCCGATGTACAAAAAATTGTACAAGATATTATACCCAAACTGTCGTTTATCAAACAAGCAGTTCTCTCTACAACGCAACAAACTATGACCATAAGTACAGATTTAACCATTTGAGCAGGTATACCATGCTTTGCAACGTATCAATAACAGTATTTACATGTATACATATACATATAATATTATTTAGCACTAATTGTAAATGGTAAAACGCCTTTCCAGACTTTCTATCCCGAGAGCATACTTGTATACAGCGTTTCGATACAAAAATATTAAAATTGTTATTATACAATATAAACTACGCTCGTTATCAATTACACAACAACCTATTGCGATAAGATTATCATCTTAATAATTCATTTTGACAGGAATAAATTCTCGTCGTATTCCAATGGAAGTATGGTCGTCCCTCGTAACGTCTTGTATACAAGGTACTTTCACTAGATTGAAATAAATGTGGCCCATAATGTCTGCCGTTGAATGCCTACTCGCCTTCAAGCAGCGGTACAGTGCCTCGTCGCAGGTGCAGTGCGATCTGCGAAGGTGAGAACAAGACTTATATGTATATTCTGCATAGTTCGCAAACAATGTTATTATGATCTAAAGACACGATAACGCGCAAGAAATAAAATAAGAATTGTATATTTTTCATACTTTGTATACCAGGAGTAATTGGTGAGATTGTATCGCGTTCGATGCGCGCGTACTTTAACAGGGCAGAGATCATGGCTGCGACAGCACCTGAAACAAACGATGTCTCTAATTAGAACATAGGATTCTACGTTAACGGAAGCGAACACAATTGAGCCACTTGCTCTGACCTATCGATTTCTACTTCTTGACCCAGATCATGATAGCCGTCTGCGATGTCCCCTGTACCACACCACTTGGTTCCTGCAACAACACCGCATGCTGCATCCTCGGATTCGTAATTACCACTGCGGAGCTTTATTATGCTCCATCGGAAGACCAAAAACGAAAATTACCTGGAAGAATGCCCGAAAGAAGGGACAGCGAGTTGCCGACGACGCGCGTCCCCCTGCTCAAATTACTAGACATCGTGGACGTCAGAACGTCCTGTTGTATTTTATCCAGTAACTCGCACTGTTGCATGAGCTTCGTTATTTCGGGAAACGACACCTGTATCGGTATCGTCGACACGGACAGGTTCCTCAACACCTCGTTAGCTTCTTCTTGCTCGCTAAAAAACGTGTCGTTTCGCTTGAACCATTTTCTTGAATTGCAAAGAAAATTCTGTCGGATCTCTCTCGTATCTCGAGGAACACTCACTAAACTTCGATCAGGTCGCAGTTTTGTAGCTCGTTGTTAGCCCCGATGTCGACCACCGCGATCGTCTGATCGTAATAGTAGACCGCCGTGATCTCGTTCTTGACGGGAATTCTGGGCCTCGGCGTGGTCCCACCGCCGTTCAGTCCTTTTAACACGTTCTTGAAGAAGATCGGTTGCTCCATGCTGCTGGAGCTCATCGTCACCACGAAAAACAATATCCAGCCCGGGAACCACATCTCTCACCTCAAAGTATCGCTACACGTCGAGAACACAACACTGCGCGCTTTTACGTTCGCGCGTCCGTTTTATTCGCATTCTGCCGGTTCCCTAGCGTGGCAGTTCCCGTACTAGATCATCTCCGCAGCGATCCAAGGGAACTGGTCCGGATAAAATACGTTACATGGTCGATTCGACCGCGAAATTCGTCAGACATAAGTCAAATCGATTTCATTCGCCTCTCGCTTCTGTCTGGCAAACCTTTCCTCGAGTTGCTGATTTATTCAACAGCTAAAGACAACCTTTGTAACTTAAGCAACCTACTGCAAAAAGAAACACGATTATCTTCATCATTTCATGCGGCGCTTTTTCTACGGAATCTGAAAGAAACGTGGACTTGCAATTATGTTTTCTTTTCTCCCTTCAAACGATACAGAATAGTCTACCTGAAAATTTGAATAACCCGAAGGTCTGTGCTTCTTTTATTGTATCGCATACTTTATCATTTAACGCTCGTCGAGCCTATAGAACTATTTTCCATCATTAATTAATTATTCCTCGCTCGTATCGCAGGCGAATACTTTCTTTCTATCGACGATTAGAGTGCCCGACGTTCGCGTTTACCGCGGACGCGAACTCCCTTTCATCCCTTCGGTCCCGCCGCGTTCACCAATCACACGGTCACCTCGAGATCGCACCATACACTCTTTTCTCCCCCGACACCCAGACGACGAAGAATTATTCTCGAATCGAAGTTTTGCTAGGGGGTTTCCGGAACGGGTAAAACCATTTCGGTCTCGAACGAGGAATCCGTTCACCGGCACAGGTGAATCGCGAACGATGCCTGGCAGCAGATTTTGCCGAGTCTTATCATCGACGATCGGCACACACCTGTTCCACACCAGAGGAGAGAACTGTGCGCACAAACACACCGGGGACCGACGGAACGAAGTTTGCCGGAAACCGCGCGCACGGTTTCTGTGAACGGTGCGGCTTGCGTATCTATAATGCACGCAAGCGCAAGCGTGTCAGGAAGCCGACCCCGTCGCCGATCGAATCAGGATGTGTATAGCCTGCCAAGTTTCCGAAGACCCTCCCAAAGGAACGGCCGGCTGGAACCGTGGTGGGAACCATATACCAGACCCCCCTCTACCGTCGCAGTAAATATTTTTAAAGTTATCAAGCTGCACGGCTTCGACGGCTGTACCTGTGCTATACCGTCCTCCCTCCTTCACCGTCCCCTTGCTCTCCCACCATGGTTTTATCACGACGTAACAAGGTATTTGGCAGAGACGAGCAGCCTACCGGGGGGACCCACATTCAGGGAGACTAGGACAAAGAAAGTGGGACGAAAACGTAAGAAATTATGGGGCTAGCGAGCGGTGGTCTACTCGGGCATTTTCGACGACGTAGCCGGTTCGAAAGAGAAATTCGTCGGTAGCGCGTCGGCAGCGTTAGGAAAATTTCGTTCGTTGTCGCGGTGTCGATATGTCCTCGTGCAATGACCCGCGTGACATTCTGCGATCGAAGATCTGTTCCATCCGGATGTCTCGGCGCGTCGTCCATCTTCTGGCGGATATGAAACCTTCGAAGACGTGATTTCTATTAGAAACGATTTTTCACCGATGCAGGCCGATGCGATTGTCCATTGAACGATACACCTTGAAGTTGACGCGTGAGAAAATGATGAATTTATTATCCTGAATTCGGACAGAGTGTTCGCGAACAAAGCGGATTTAGCAGATCGAATGGAAACGTTTACAAACGGAGCAGGCTCGGCAGATAATCGTTGTTTTCGCTTCGGAATTTAGTCTGCCGTCGATAAGTGTATACATTCCGAATACATTCGATTAAAAGCAAGCGATTTACAAACCGACGATCAAAAGGCGGAACGGGATCACCTTTGTTTTTAAGACTGGCTCGATTTCAAGGGTTGCTGTTCGTGAGACGAGGAGGTCGTCTTCGCCGCAGCGTTCACCGGATACTGGTTTCCAATTCGAGTGGTGCTCAGCGTGATGCTAATAGGCGTAGCATTCGAAAGTTGTTGGCGTACCGGGCATTGACGGTAGCCTGAAACATGGAATTCATGAATATGAAAATTCGTTCGGAAAAGTATTTATTGCGAACGATTTATGTCCGTCGTTAGTACACGGCCTCGTCGGTGCTTGAAAAAGTAGTTCAAGAGAAGAGGCGACCTTCCTCTGCCCTTCGACAAGACCGATCCAGCAGAGGCGAAACTCGGGACTAACGAGAACGGAGCAATTTGAATACTGGATCGTTATGCGAATAAATAGAGAAATATAAATTGGCCTCTCCGCGAATTATACCGGCGTGATGCGGACCGGAACAGTGGCAGCAAATAGGATTATTCCGTGGTCTTGGACAGAACTCGACGCTGTGCGGCTCGCCGCATCGAACGCAGCGCGGCAGGTGCCTGCAATTAGCGGCCATGTGCCAGAATCCCTGGCAGCGGTAGCATTGGAGAACGCCGTCTCCCGTTTGGTAGTTGGTCGCTTCGAGGAGATTGTTGGCCATCCCGGAGCCCGGTTGCATCGGGCCGCCGCCGTTTCCGGTTCCTCCGCGCCACCAACGTTCCGGAATCGCGCTGAACCGCGCGGCACCGAAAAAGTCCAAGCCTTGCCGCAGCAGAAGCTCGTAGTGCCCGGCGTCCAGCACCTGAGTAGCATATTCAAACATCAGTGTCGAAGTCAACGACCAGATAATTATTTGCTCGTAGACAAAACTAGAAGCAACGCGTATCGAACCGGCGAAATGGACGTCGCATGTTTATTGTGCGACGTTCTATAATCTCGGACAACTATAGTCACGCGACGTACACTCTCGTTCTTTCCCATCGGGCGACCATAGCGCGTTCTTCGCTTTTACAATAGAGAAATACAATAAGAAGTTTCTAAACTTAGCTTGCTGAAAATACAAACAGGAGAAGAACGAAGCCGTGTTCCCCGATGAGCGAACAGAACGATTTCTCTGGTCCTTTAACCTTTTAGGTACGGCTGAATTCTGCGCGAGGCTATTTCTCTGGACGGCAGAGTCTGATATGTACTGTATATTCTGTCTATATATTGTTAAGGTACAGTTATATTGTTAACGGTTATATTGTTAAGATAAGTCTGTATATTGTAAATCGATGTGAAGACAAAAGAAGTGTGAAACAATGCATATGAAGACGATTATTTGATTTAACACTATAGTGGCGCGTCGTTCAGAGAGATTACATCCGCGAAAGCCACTATAGTGGCGCGTCGTTCAGAGAGATGACATCTGCGGAAGCAACTATAGTGGCGCGCGTCGTGCCTAAAAGATTAAGAGGACATTCCGAAACGGTAACGTTGGATTGCTAAGGGATGCGTACCTCGACGCGGACGTATTGACGCCAGCGTTCGACGCTTCCGGCTGCGATGCCCTGCTTCGACAGCGCGGAATTTATGTCTTGCAGTGGAATTGCCCAAGGCACGTCGCGTAACAGCACCGCCTGCCTGTAGCGGGAGTCTTTTGCAGAAAACCGAGCTACCTGCGTAACGCGACAGTTCATTGTTTAACGGATTCGCAGCCGTTCGTAGTTCGCATGATCAGCAGAAAGAAAGAATTTCCGCAGAAATTTCTGTGGAAGTTGCGCGATCCAACGGGTCGTTTACACGATCACTTTCCTTGCGCAAATCAGAGAGGAAAGCGGACCCCCGGAGACGCAACGAAATTCTTAGCTACAAGCGGGACCATTTCGACATGGATACTTGTACGGGTCCCTCGAAAACTCGTGCCAAGTCCCCGCGTTGCAACAGTTTCTCGGCGTCGGCTTCGCGCGCGAACGCCGCGATCAGGCCGCAGGGAGTCTCGGAGACGAGCCAGGCTGCCAGCGGGTCCGAGATACGAATCACGTCCTCCAGGTTCGAACGCGGTAGCTCTCCACCTGTCGTTCGGAATTTCTCGTTTCAAATGCGTGACGATGAAAACGGTGGGACCGCTAAAACAATTAGCATCTTATATAACAGCGTGCAAGTTATCTCGAGTAATATGGTTTGCTAATTTCTTTCGGTACACGAAATGTCGTTCAGTCGAAAGACCCTGGCGGCGTACAGGTTTCCAATAGTCAATAACAAGCATTCGAGCAGCGTTCTTTCTATTTGCAACTACTAGTTCGCCGCACGTTACGTATTGTATGTTGCAGAACAAGTTGTCGAGACGCTGGCGCAATCATCGCCGATTACATCAGTACGGTGGACTCGTTGTAACAACTGGAGAGCACGGCTTCTCGATTATGCTGGCCGAGCATTCGCAAAATAACTTTGCGCTACGTTGAAAGAACGTGAAAGATTTCAATGGAAACGCGTCGACAGCTACATTGACTTTCACCGCGGCGATAAGATCTGTCTATAGAAAAGATATTCCCACCGTTCGAAACCTCGACGTAGCCTTTTGCATTATAGTGTACACAATTGCCTGTGTCCCGTACGAGAAACGAACAGCAGACGTTTACTCGACGGCGGGCAGAGACAAAGGAACGGCTACCTTGCGTTCCTTGCACTTGGCCTTGCGGGCCAACGGCACGCGATATGTAGAGGGAACACGTGAAATCTTCTTGGCCGGAAGCACGTGCCCGATCGTTGTAGAAATCAGACGCATTCGGTTGCGGGATCGCGACTTGCATCGTCCCATCGTCGTTCTCCTTTTCAGGGGACTCTTCCTCCATCCTATGCACCTCGTGCACCATCCAACGAGCTCCTAATCGACAAAGGCATATACATAGTCGTTACGTTGATTGAAAAGAACAATCCACTTCTGATCTGATTTTACGTAAGCGTCGAAGTCCGAAGCGATGTTCTTCGGTGTCCTCGCATCAAGCACGCGACAATTAACCGGTCGGTAACTAGGTATACGGGTAATACGGTTATGGCGCATTGAATACGGGTTAATAGTTTTTGCAGCGTCGGGACTGTCGACGAAACCGAAGGGAAACACGCGAGGTTAAAATTGCTGCTTAGTCGCTGACGAAATGCGATAGCACAAAGTTGCAGTCGACGCGTAAATGGTTCAGCATAATTTTCGAAAGATATCATTCTTTGTTGCTATCGGTATAATATCGGGTTTATAATGCTTGGGTTCGTAATTACAGTTTTTTCCAGGGTTCACGTGATAAGCGAAAGAGCAGTTTTCCGTTACTTGTATTACCGATTCCCAACCACTTTGTCTCGCTCCGGTATGTCCGGCGATGACCGTATCACCTTAGGCGTTTCCTCTGCTCGCCGTATTCACAGGGAAAAGAAGCCAGGGCCGAGGAGGACATGGCCCAATGCTGGAGCCATTAAGCGGCATCTTTCACGATCGCAACAATATTGTTACTCTGTCTTTTTTTTCCAAAATCGAAAGTCTGATCACTTCACTGGGCATGATTATCCTATAAAATATCGACCATTATTCAGCGTAATCGATTTGGAACAGGAGGCTTGAATACATTCTATATATAGAATTATATTCTATCTATAATATATAATATATAATATATAATATATAATATATAATATATAATATATAATATATAATATATAATATATAATATATAATATATAATATATAATATATAATATATAATATATAATATATAATATATAATATATAATATATAATATATAATATATAATATATAATATATAATATATAATATATAATATATAATATATAATATATAATATATAATATATAATATATAATATATAATATATAATATATAATATATAATATATAATATATAATATATAATATATAATATATAATATATAATATATAATATATAATATATAATATATAATATATAATATATAATATATAATATATAATATATAATATATAATATATAATATATAATATATAATATATAATATATAATATATAATATATAATATATAATATATAATATATAATATATAATATATAATATATAATATATAATATATAATATATAATATATAATATATAATATATAATATATAATATATAATATATAATATATAATATATAATATATAATATATAATATATAATATATAATATATAATATATAATATATAATATATAATATATAATATATAATATATAATATATAATATATAATATATAATATATAATATATAATATATAATATATAATATATAATATATAATATATAATATATAATATATAATATATAATATATAATATATAATATATAATATATAATATATAATATATAAAATATATAATTATATTCTATCTATATTCTGTAAGTAATCCGCTCTTTAGAAACGATTCATAAATATTTATAATCAGAAAATATAGAACGTATCTTCGCCTTTTTACGTTACGTGCATGATCGGTGTTTGCACAAACAAAGGCAGTTGCAAACAACTTTTGTACTCACGACCGGATACCTAATGTAATTTCGATAGGGTTTCCATAAATAATTAGTTTCCAATAAAAGACGTAAGTATGAAACTTTAGAAGCATCTCCCAATTCTAATATAAACCTACATTTTGAAACCTTGACCACAGACTCAGGATCCGTACAGACATTGTATGCAATACTTTTTTCTATCTCAGGTATAAAATATTTTCATCGTTCTCAGTTGCTAGCCAAATCGTACCGACAGCAGCGATTGTGGCGCTTCTTGCGGCAACGTCGTAGAAGCTAGATTCAAGCATCCGTACAGCGCCATTCCTCGTAGTGGCAGAACGCTCAAACTGGTAGACAAAATGACCAATAGTTGATTTTAGCTAACAGTTTGAGCGTTTTGCCACCATATGGAATGGCGCTGTACGGATCCCAAACGCAGCTTCTTGATAGCGCCGCTAGTGACGCTATCGTCGCGCAACTACAGTCGTCTCTCGATTCAAAAGCTTTTTCTTCTCCCAATTCATAAATCTTGTGCAAATGCAGAAAAAAAACGATCACGCACAGAAAATCGAGAAATAAAGAGCAGCTCCTCTCTGAACTGTAGGTTCGTGAAAAGGGTTGTGAAAAAATGGCTTTCTATGCCTACTCCGCGGAGATCTCCGAATCCTTGGCTACATTTACGTATAGTTGAGTTTATTATACAAGTACTCGCTAGTATCGTTCATAATTTAATTACATTTTATTCGGTCAGTAGAAGGTAGACTGTTGTTTCGCTTTCCGTTGCAACGCGCTGCCGTTTAAGGCGAGGAGACGGTGCCGTTGCTTGAGATTCCTCGCTCGAACATGCTCCGAGGCGACTTCCTTTGTGTAATTCCCAGGAAACCAGCCCTGTTCGCCATCCAACAATTTCTCACCGTGGAACCAGCCGTCCGACATTTTTCTGAGCACGTTTATCACATCTCCTGCAAAGAGAGATATCACCATCAGCTCGGGACCCGTTCTTGTTTCCACGATCCGAGTGCGTTCATCGAGGACATTCGATTTTCTATATCACCTGGATGCAACGACAACTCGTCCGGTTGGTTCGAAGAATAGCTGTACAAGGCGACAATCTGGGGACAGTCCCAGACTTCGTACAGGGTCTCGCCGACCAGACCCGGCCTCGAGGGCGACACAGCCTCCAGCCACCTCTGCCTCTCCGTGTCGCTCTCGCAGGTCATAATGTACTCGGCCTGGCGACCGGAATGGTTCTCCAGAAGAGTGAGCAGCATCGCGTTGCGTCCGGCGAACGGAGAGTCGTCGGGAGCTGACTCCAAGGCGATCAAGCTTCTCTTGCAGATGTCTATCACGGTGTACGTCTCCTCTTGAGTAGGACTGCAACGAAAACCGTTTAAAATTTCAGTCTAGACGGAAACAAACTAACAAGGAGAGTGCAAGAGCTTAGGGTCGTCGATATTGTTGTAACTATTTACGAATATGTGCCATTATAAGGACGGATATTCAATAATTATTTAAACACGCAACCGGTGTTCGTGAGCTGCCGCGAACGTTTACCCCTATAATGTTACATATTCGTAAACAGGAGAACAAGATCTACAAATGTACAAAGTCCCAAAAAAATTGGTAGCCCCAAGACCTTGCGCTCTCCTTGTGAACCGCAACGACTCGCGCACCTGGTTTTGTATTTTGCGACTAGAAGGTAATCAGTGAGCAACAGGAGGTAGAGCGGCGTCTTGTTGAACCTCTTTCCGAACGTAAGTTTGTACTCGGCGTCAGCCTTCGTCAACAACTGCACCACCGCGCCGCTCTTCACCAGGTGCTTCCCCTTCAGGGGAATGGGTTTCACTTTCGTCGAGTACTCTAATCTCCTGCAAACAGGAACAAATCTTTTACCATCGTCCGTTTACGGGAAGAGTGGTCTGCGAACGTTACCTGGCCAAGTTCTCCATCTCCACCTCTTTCGCCGCGGCGCGTGCACCTTCGTTGCACTCGGCGACGACGTAGCTCAGAGTCGACAGCACCGTTTCCCAGCGGGGTCTGTCGGGGTGCTCGATCGACAGCTTCGAGAGGACAGCGTCCGTCAGCAACGGAAGCCTGGACCAAGTTTGTTGTTCGTTATTATAATATATGGTCAGATTCTTCTTGATCTTTAAAGCAGTTCTACGACCTCGGGGAGCCTAACTTTTTAAGCATGCGTCAAACGAATGCGCTCTATCGAATATCTGTACAATGTCGAATATCCGCTCTCGCTTGGAATTTCTTCGTTGACGGAATTACGCATTTCGAGGCTACACTTCCGACTGTATAATAAATTATTTAAAAACGGTCGTTCTCACCTGGTGATACGCTGCATCGGCAGCATCAGAAAGGAATGCAGTGACAAACTGTGGCAGGCAGGGCGCGCTTCGATCTGCGCCACGATCTCGAAAAACCTCTGACCTTTCCGCGTCCTGCAAATCGGATACAACGTCAGACGCTGTTTATTCGCGGACCATCTCGCGTCGTACTACCTCAACTGCTTCAAGGTATTGTCGATGCTGACTTGGTTCGAGCAGTAAGCCACGTATCTGTCCGAACACCTGTCGGCGTACTTGAGCAACACGTCCGGCAGCTCGTGCAACATCGGGTCCTGCCTCCACACGGCCTCCAGCTCCGCGAGGAACCGCTCCGACGCCTGCAGCACGCCTGGAATACTGCCGAACAGCTTCTCCTTTTCGTCGGACGTCAGCGTGTCCCTGATCGAGGCCTCGTTCATGAACTCGTTCTCTAGAACGCGAAGCGAGTTCAGGTACGAGGCCTCCGAGGTCAGGATCTCGAACTTCGCCTCCTGGATCTTCTTCTCCTCGGCGGTCAAACGTTCTGTAAACAAGTAGGAACGGTCTTAACCTTTTAGGTACGGCTGAATTCTGCGCGAGGCTGTTTCTCTGGACGGCAGAGTCTGATATGTACCGTACAGAGTGTCTGTATATTATTAAGATACAGTTATATTGTTAACGGTTATATTGTTAAGATAAGTATGTATATTGTAAATCGATGTGAAGACAAAAGAAGCGTGAAACAATGCATATGAAGACGATTATTTGATTCAAACGATGACCGAGTGAGCTACTAGAGTAAGCCACTATAGTGGCGCGTCGGGCCTAAACGGTTAAACATCTAACAGAGGGAACTTGCGTCAGGCTCTTACGAAACGAATGATTTGCTCACGTAGGAGATCGGTGCCGACAACCTGCGGCGTCTGGTGCCACAGCGTCCTGTGCCCCGGCCTGACCAGGTCCGTGGCCGACTGCGGGGCCGGGCCCACGACCTGCGAACATTATCTCTTAAACTTCCACGAAACTATGCGCCGAGAGAAAATAGGTAATTACCTCGTCGTAGTAATCGGAGTTCGAATCGAACGCAGCCCTGGCGGCCGCGGCCGCGTAGAACTGATAGAGGGGCTCCTGATCGGCGAGAATGCTGTACGGATCTGTAACGGTGACACACGCGTAATCTCATACGAGTGCTCGCATACGTTGAAAAGAATCTACATCGGTGCAGCAGCTCACCCGACTGTCCTACGGTGTTACCGTAGACCGGCTCCTCGCGAAGAAACCGGTCCTCCCCGGACTCGGTGGTCGGGCTATTGTTGCCGTTCGAGGTTGCGCCGTTCAAGTAGAACGTCGACAATCCGGCGACGTTTCTCTTGAAGTGCCTGGCCAGCCCGAAATATCTCGCGGCGTCGAAACCAGACTGATGCTCGTTGCAGGACTCTCTGCCGCCTTCATCGGCCGGGTTCGGCGGGGCCGCCGCGGATATGTTCTCGTCGCCGGCCGAGGTCCTCCTCCGCATCCGTCCGAGGCTACCCTTGGTGATGCTCCAGGTCCTCCGGAGCATCTTGATCCTCCTGCCTAACGTCTGCGTCAGGCTGGCCTCGCGTGGCGGCGGAGGATTAGGCCTGGTCGGCGGTCTCAGCGCTTCTTCCGGGATCCTGAGGTCCGCGCTCCTTTCCGGTGGTCTCGCCTCGACGGTTTCCGGTTCCTGTTCCGAGTCCGAGCTGAAGTCGTCCGGCTGGAACGAGCGCAGGCTCTCGTAGGTGCTGTCGTCGGACGCGTTATCTGGAAAATGCGAATCAATTGTGAGCGAGAATCGTACGTTTCGCGAGGGGGAAGGGACGAATCTCTGTTTGTTCCGGAAAAATTCTGTGGAACATCAAGGGAAAAAAGAGAAGCGTCGATTATCTCCGGGCGTGTGGGACCTTCGCAAACGTAGCACGAGGCCTCCTGCGTGTCCACATCCTCGTCCAGGTCGATCACCCGCATCTGGACGAGACCTTGGGTCCTTCTTCCCGATGCCGGCCGCCGCGCCTGCGTCCGATCGTCGCCGGATCCGTCGCCGGTCCATTCCTCGATTCTCGCGCTGCGACCAACGAGCAACACGGATCCGCCGCCGAGGCTCACGGACACTTGAAACGATCGTTCACGGTCAGAGCGTGTTGCGAGACGAGAAAAGCGTGGGCGTCGCTCGTCGAGCCGACGAAGGCTGAATCCGCGGAGGACTCGGAGGCGGGGCAGGGGCAAGAGCAGCTCGGTGGTGGAGGGAGGGGAAGAGGAGGCCCAGGCGGAGGAAGAGGCCCCATGGCGGTCAGCTTGGCAGCGAACGAAGAAAGCGAAATCGTCCCGTCCCGTCTCGACCCGCGGTTTCGCGTCGTTTCGGCTGTTGCCCGCGACCCGAGAAATCGCGGCGACGTCCGATTACGTCGACGGCGTACGTCGCGACGGTTTCCCGCGGTCGAGACGGAAAGTTGTGTTCGCGCGTTCTGTTCGGAGAGACAGGCTCGAGGAACGACGCGGCGAACGCGACGGCGACTGGCGAGTTTCCTCTCCACTTACCTTGCGTATTCGGTCGTCGGAATGTTTTCGAGGCCTCTCTCATTTCCGCGACATTTCGAGCCGCCGCGAGCGAGGCCCCGTGCGCGCGAGAGCTCGACGCGAACCGTTTCCTCGCGACGCGGCCGAAGATTCGGGCCCGGGGAACGAGAGCAGGAAAACCGTGCGACACGCTCCTGACTCTCTCTCTCTCTCTCTCTCTCTCTCTCTCTGCTGTTTCTCTCTATCCAGATTCACGTTCCGGTCCTCGCGCACCTGGACGCACCCGGACGCTCGTGCAACGCGAGCAACGGCTCGGCCGTGACTGACACACCGAGGGAGCGCAACACGCGCTTTCACCTCGACGCGAGAACTCTTCCAGTCCGGTTCCCGGGACGGTTCTCTCCGATCGTATATTTTTCAGCCTCGGCTCCGACGGTCAGCCGGGAATCTCTGCCGGCTCTCGAAAACAGCCTCGGCCCCGTGATTCGGCACGGAAAAGTCACCGGGCCGGCGGCGTACGCGCGCCGATGTCTCGACTCCGTTCAAAAAAGAGACGTACAAAGGTTCCGCGTCGGCAACGTTCTCGCTGGCAAAGATCTCTGCGTCGCGGTATTGCCGGAGAGAAAGTTTGGCACGTCGACGGAGACGCGAGGACCCGGCCGACGGTGTCCTTCGAGCAGAAAATCGCAGCGAAATTCAGCGGACCGTTGCGACAGTGTGGAAACTCCAGGAAGAGATCCGCGCGCTCGTCGCGAAAGAGAAAAACGCGGAGCGGAGCGGGGGGCACACTTTTACTCGGGACGCGACACGGGTACGCGATGCGTGTACGCGACGCATCGGCGAGACTGTTCCGACGCGGCGATCTCGAAAAGAACAAAGCGCGCGTTTCTTTTTTGCCCGCGCGCCGCGTCGCGAGAGTAGGCGCGCGAGGCGCAACCTTGACACTCGATCGGTTTTATTCGAACCGATCCGCCTACTTCGTGCTCGTTCGGCGACTCTCGCTCCGCGGTTCGCGTTTACGAAAGCGATCCGAGACACGGAACGTCACGTTTGGGAAAGAGAGAGCGACCGATCGTCGCGCCGATCTCCGGGCTCTCCCGACTCCTCCGCTTTTCCAAAATGCCCCAAGGTCCCCCCCCCCCCCCCCCCCCCCCCCCCCCCCCCCCTCTCCCCCCCCCCGTT